AGTGCCTTGCTTTCATCACAATTTGCAGCTTTGCTTTGGCGTACCGCGGCCGCTACCGGGCCGCCCGGCCGGCGCGAGCCTGGCGGCCGTTTCTGTCACTTTGAACTTCAATTACTCGATGTTCTGCCGCAGCAATCGCAAATATTTTGGCATGAGCGTGTTCCCCAGGCTTTTCTACTCTGGATCCAACACTGTTTACGAGTCCAGGTGCCATTGCAGGGTGGTTCCAGGGCCCTTGAACGCAACTATGTCGTTTATAATATAGCACGATATTTCATCTTTGGCTCCACTTCCCGTCCGATCTATGATACTTAGAGTCGCGTTCGGCAGCTAGAAATGTTCCTTGAAACATCCTCTTTCAAATGAAAAAAAAGTCTATCCAAAAATATGCATTTTTGGCCGAGATATTGGCTTTTAAAGGCGCCGAAGGCGCGAAAACGCGGTGAGTGTGCGACGGGTTGCCTACCCGGACCTCCCGTAAGGCGCAATGGTAATTTTGAAGGCCTGTAAAATTTTCCCTAAGGGAAATTTTTGTTGCCTCTGCGGGTCAAATCCTTTAATTGGGCCATACGTAGCCGTGTTGGCAAGCCAACAACGCAGTGTAACTAACTTAAATTAACCGTAAAATCACTTTCTTTGCCGCGCGGCCGTGTCAATACCCCGCGCGTGCGTTTTGTCGCTGGAGTCTCACGTTCGGCCGCGAGCGATGCAGTAGCGGCGCCCGATGCGAGGCGTGTCTCGGCACCCCTCGGGTGGCGCTCGGCTCGGCGCGCTCGACGGAGCGGCGCGCCGGCAGGGCCCCAGGTCCGGTCCTGGAGCCCTACGCTCGCTCTCATTCGCATCATCCAGTTAGAAGTGTACACATCGACCCCTCAGCAGACCACCTCGGCTGTATCACTGTACTTCTGTGCCAAGTAAGTTAACATTATAATTCAGTGCTCAAAGTGTAACCTTGTGTTTTACCTTTATCCACATTTCCTGAATAACGCACTCCTGGCAAAGCAAGCAATTAATTCTAGTCACACTCATCATGCACAGACTCACATCAGATTCTAGTCGTAGCTTGGATCTCTGATCTCTTTCTAGTCAACTTGGCCACGTGGTCATCCTAACTTTTAGTCAAACATTTAGAGATCCACTACAGCCGTGTGCAAAGCGGCATCGCGTGCGAACGATTTGCCACTATCTGTATCTTTGTGTGATGTACCCCGTCCACAAGGGACAGTGGTGGAGAACTCGACGGCAGTGGTGACCCACACCTCTGCCCTCTCCCACCTGGTGTCCAGAGTGTTGGACACCCCATCTAGGCCTTGCCGAACCTATGCACCCAAAAAAGCGTATTCTTGTTTCAAGTACAGCAATTTACTTGATTTGTGGTGGCCTTGAATTCAGGTTAGTGGGGCTCGATAGATAAGAGGTAGGTTTAAACGTTACTTGCGCCGTAACGACATCTACAGGAGTCGTCGACGGTACAGGAGAGGTGTAAAGAGGCGTCTACGAACTCACCCAGTTAAAACCCCACTAAAAAATTTCATTCAGGGACGAAATAAATAGAAAAAACTGATAGTTGACAAAAATCGTCCTCCGCCATCTTGGAATTTTATAGCACAAATGCCCTACAGCCTGACTGGAGTGTCGCTCAGCTTTGCGGGTGGTACCACCGACTTCGCAAGGGTCGACTTTGGGGGGGTCATGTTAAGTGAAAAAACCGCTAGGACCTACCCTTATCATTGTTTATTTGACAGCCACCCCTCAACCCCAACGTGCCTCGACTTGACGACTCGCGAGGCTACTTTCGGCTCACATGCGTCAATCACAAACTATTTTTGCACTTGCGTCGGTGTGGAAGTTCTTAGCACGAGTTAATCCACCCTGGCACGAGTCAATGCGGTTTCTAGAATCGATACCATTCGGAACTCAAATTCTTCGAGCTCCATGTTCTTAAAATCATTTCTGAAATATCAAGCGCCATGCGGTGTTGCCCCGAGCGCTGGCGTTCTTATTAACTTCGCCTTACAAGATTATTTCAATCTAGAATGCTTACTTCAAGCTCCAACCGGGCTCGATCAATTCAAGTGCATTTGGCGCTTGTATCAAGTAAAATGCACTTGGATCAAGTTTAGGCTTTTATGGGTGTAGGGTGTGTTACGCCTTGAGTCCGTCAGGCCTAGGGTCCGTCAGGCGTAGAGTTTGTTATGCCTTGAGTCCGTCACGCCTCGAGTCTCTTATGCCCTGAGTCCGTCACGCCTATGGTCCGTCACGCTAAGAGTCTGTTACGCATTGAGTCAGTCACGCCTAGAGTCCGTCACGCCTAGAGTTTGTTATGCCTTGAGTCCGTCACGCCTA